GGTCTCCTTATGTTGCCCAGGCTGGTCTCAGACTCCTAGGTTCAAGTGATTTTCCCACCTCAGTCTGCCAAATACTGAGATTACAGCCGTGAGCCACCATGCCCAGTCAATAATAAGGAAATTTAATGAATGGGTTAACCTAAAATGTCTGTTAATATTCCTATTGGCTGGGTGTGGTGGCTCACGCCTATAATCCCAGCACTTTGGGAGGCTGAGGCGAGTGGATTATTTGAGGTCAAAAGTTCCAGACCAGCCTGGCCAACACGGTGAAACCCTGTCTCTACTAAAAATACAAAAAAAAAATCAGCTGGGCGTGGGTGCATGTCTGTAATCCCAGCTACTCAGGAGGCTGAGGCACAAGAATCACTTGAACCTGGGAGACAGAGGTTGCAGTGAGCCAAGATCATGCCACTGCACTCCAGCATGGGCAACAGTCTAAGACTCAGTCACAATAAAAGAAAAAAGGCCAGGCACAGTGGCTCAAGCCTGTAATCCCAGTACTTGAGTGGATCACGAGGTCAAGAGATCAACACCGTCCTGGTCAACATGGTGAAACCCTGTCTCTACTAAAAATACAAAAATATTAGCTGGGCATGGTGGCGCGTGCCTGTAATCCCAGCTACTCAGGAGGCTGAGGCTGGAGAATTGCCAGAACCCAGGAGGCGGAGGTTGCAGTGAGCCGAGATTGCGCCATTGCACTCCAGCCTGGGTAACAAGAGCAAAACTCCGTCTCAAAAAAAAAAAAAAACCTTTCAGTTCTAGAATTTGATGGGTCTATATTAAATTATTAAAATTATTAAATTTCCTAAAATATATTCGCTGCATGCTTCAGACTAAATATGCTGGCTTAATATCAAAAATATTTCTTAAATTATTACACACAGAAACCACAATGACTACAGAGTGGTAAATGTGTTATCTAGGAAAATAATCTTCAGATGGTTATATTTTTCTGTAAAAAAGATACATATGTCAATAAATGCTTCTAAATGCATAAAGGAGATGAGCAGTTATTTTCCGTAGCTGTTGATGAGACAGTAAGATGAAAGAGATTTAAATTATATTACGAGGACAGTAAAATAAATTTTTGTTCCATTTTTTCTGTCTCTTTGTGACAAATTACACCATCATACTCTCCGAATATTCTTTTAATCATTCATTAAGCTCTTCAGCATTGACTAAGTGCCTGAAATACATATTACTTTGCTAGCTCCGCTCTGTGGGGTACAAAGGTGAGTGACAAAATGAGGTTCTATGCCTTTAAAATACTTACAGGGGCCAGGTGCGGTGGCTCACGCCTGTAATCCCACTACTTTGGGAGCCCAAGGCAAGTGGATCACTTGAGGCCAGGAGTTCAAGACCAGCGTGGCCAACATGGTGAAACCCTGTCTGTACCAAAAATACAAAAATTAGCGGGTCATGAACCTGCAGTCTCAGCTACTCATGAGGCTGAGGCTGAGACTGTCCTTGAACCCAGGGGGAAGGGGTTGCAGTGAGCCAGCAGCCCACTGCTGCACTGTAGCCTGAGCAACAGAGCAAGACTCTGTCTCAAAACATAAACAAGTAAAATATAAAATAAAATGCTTATAGGATCTTGAACCACAATTTTTCTTGTTCACTGATAGTAAACCTAATAGTGAATTCAGGATTTATCTCACACTTGAAATTTTCTTACTGATTACTGGAAAATATCCACAATCATCTAATTGTGAGTTTTACAAAAACCTGAACTAAAGATTGACCAGCAGACTCCACAAGGTTCCCAAATCCCCCAAAATCACATGCTCAGTGTCGACTGCATCTTTCTGAAGAGGCTATAATGGTTTTCATGGACCTTTTTCATCACAAATAGTAAAACATCACCAATGGAATGGAGCCAAACATCTTGTAGCAAAAACTTTTTTTTTTCCTGAGACGAAGTCTCACTGTCACCAGGCTGGAGTGCAGTCGTGCGATCTCTGCTCATGGCAACTTCCACCTCCTGGGTTCAAGAGATTCTCCTGCCTCAGCCTCCCGAGTAGCTGAGACTACAGGTGCGCACCACCACGCTCGGCTAATTTTTTGCATTCTTAGAAAAGATGGGGTTTCACCATGTAAGCCAGGATGGTCTGGATCTCCTGACCTCAGGATCCACCCACCTTGGCCTCCTAAAGTGCTGGGATTACAGAAGTGAGGCACCGCACCCACCCAGAAACCTGTTTTTCCAGAAAAAAACAGGACAAAGATGAAACATGGTACCATGTACCTGCTCAACCTCCAAAGATCCTGCTTCTGGAAGTTGAAACATAAATTCTTAAAACTTGGCCAAGCGTGGTGGACTCAAACCTGTAATCCCAGCACTTTGGGAGGCCGAGGCAGGCAGATCACAAGGTCAGAAGTTCAAGACCAGCCTGACCAACATGGTGAAAACCTGTCTCTACTAAAAATACAAAAATTAGCTGGGTGTGGTGGTGTGCGCCTGTAGTCCCAGCAGGAGAACTGCTTGAACCCAGAGGTGGAGGTTACAATGAGCCGAGAGAGATCGCACCACTGCACTGTAGCCTGGTGACAGAGTGAGACTCCATGTCAACAACAAAACCAGCTTGCACAACTTTTTTTCTAGTGCTTGAATGACCTCTTGTGGCTACTTCAGTTATCACAGCCAATTGCTCACAGCAGGAATCAAGTTAGTACAAAAGTAATTACAGCTTTTGCCACTAAGAGCAATGACCAAAGAACTAAAAAGTGTTGAAATAACAAAATGAAGATGGCATCGCAAAGGAGCACCTGGCTCAGTTTCAAGTTATTGCATAAGTTCTCTATTATCCAACCAAATTTAGTTCACAATACAGTGTGTGTGATTCAAAACGGTTCACCAGATAGTCAAGCACACATCATTCTTTTCATGAAGTATGATTTTCCCTAAGTTACTGCATTTCAAATGAATAAAGCATCAGCAAACACCCACGAAGAGAACAGTACTGGAATAAACGAAACAAGAACCCGGGGAGTTAACACCCACCCCGTCCTCTCAGTGGAGGCAGCAACAGGAACACTGTCGGCAAACGGTACAATTGGAGAAGAAGTACTGTGAGAATGCAGACTGGCCACGGAACTCAACCTGAGTGGGCAGAGGTAACAGAGACGGTTCATGCACGGCCGGGCCGAACCCTCCAAGTGGGAGTGCAGCAGCAGGTACCAGTGAATGTGGGCTGCACATCACCCAGGGTGACTGGCAGGTCCCAGGTTACTTCACACACCCTCTGCCCAGTCCCTTGAGAATTCCTGCAGTAGCAAAACACAGCATCTTCCAGACACTGCTACAGGGAGTTCCAAGCATACTGGTACAGTTTTACTCATTCATTTCAAAGTACTTGTCAGTATCCATATAGACACAAGGTACGGTCTACGCACTGGGGTGGAGCATTGAACAAGACGGTTCAAAATCCGTATTCCAACGGAGCTTGTAGTCTAGTGCAGGAAGAGAAATGAGCACATAAAATGTCAGGTGGTGATACATGCTGTGGAAAAGATAAAGTAGAATAATCGGGTTGGAAATTCCAGGCTGGCCATAGCATTCTTTCCTGTAAGTTGGTCATCTCAATTCAGACTGGCTGCTCTTCAAGCCACAGTGGCTGGAGGCCGCCATGCTGGATAGTGTAACAAACCTGAAACTATCATCCATGCCTTTCTAGTTCACAGTCTTTACCCTCTTTCTAAATCCTAAGAAAATTCATCCAACTGATCTTCAAATCCACTAACTCAGCTTCCTAAAGCATCCATGCTACTTATCACTGTAACTACTGAATAACGTAATTCAACAGTCACGTTGCACACCTTCAGAGGCTCTTTCTTCACAGCTCCTGAGCAGCAGGCGCCTGCCGTGGCAAGGCAGGTACATCCTCAAACTCCTGGGACCCTGTCTCCGACTTCAGGTTCTCCCCCATCTCCTACAGCGACTCCACCCCACTGGAGGCCTTTTGCTCGGAGCCATCAGAAGGAACCCCCACTTTTGAGAACCTAAGCCTTCTCATCTTCCTGGTCAGTACTGCCCAATGTGCTCGATCTTTTGGATAAAAATCTACTTGACACATCTCTGAGAACCAAGCTGGGTACCATCAGTGATCACATAGGGTCACAATTCATTTATTTTAGGCCCTCCAAAAAAGGGAAAATTCAGACTTAGTGGCATTTGACTAGTAGCTCAGAGATCCAACCGTTTGCAGGAAATAGAGAAGGAATTGTAAGCAAGGTATTGAAATACAGTGAGATTAAATTAAACTCCACCCAGACACTACAAGGCCAGCTGGGATACTACCCCAGCAACTGGCCACGGGAGTGGATGGCACAGACGGAAATCTTTCCAATTGTTCTTAGAGTTCCAAATACCAGCTGGCTACTATAGAGAACACCACAGTCACAGAAAGTTTTCCAATTTCTCTTAAAGCCCCAAATACTACACAACAGCTTCAGCTCTGCAGTCCCCTCTCCTGACCCCTTTCACTTCCTTCAGAAGCTCTTGCTTTCTTTTCACCTACACTGACTCTTGAGCCTCTCCCAGTTCAAGGAATAAAACTCCATTACCAATTAAGTGTAATAAACATTAACATAATGGGTAGAAAGGAGTCTTTAGTATGAAAACACTAAATTCTAGGTGAAATGCCAGAAGAACTTGCATTTTGAATTATAAGCTATGCTTTAAATAGGAAATACGTTAGTTGTAATAAAATGTTGGACAGACTACAAGAAAACTAGAAATGAAAAAAGCCTTATTCAAAAACAAATGATGAGTAGAGTTCACAACCCTTGCTAACTCTGCCATGCCACTTTAATGATGGACCACACTGTAAATGAGCTGCTGTGTTTAAGCCTAAAGGTCTGTTGAGGTGATAGTTTCAGAACAATTGCCACAATCCCACAAAGAAAAAACAAGTGAAGGTCAACGAAAGCTGCACGTTCTAAATTATAGAAGCAAGGACAGTATTTGTCATTCGTCCCATTTCAGTAATAAAAGACATTACCTCAACAACGGGTGTATTTTCCTGGAGCTCAGTTGTGTGCGAAGCCACTAGACCAATCACCCGAGCAACCTTGGCCCGTCTGTAAATGAGAGAAAAAAGGCTCTGAAGAGAGGAGTCAGGGACCGAGGAAAGCAACCCCAGCTAGTTACATTACGCAGTGATGAGCAGTACATACGAGACCGTGAAATAAAAACTGAACGTGACAGGTCAGGCCCACACTCCCCCACGTATACAGCCCACAGAAACTCTCCCTCAGACACACAGGGAGACGTGAGCTGCAAGGTCTGCTGCGATACTGCAATAGCGACAAAATTTAAACAAGTTGTGGGTCAACCAGAGGAAAGAGCGAAACAGTAATTAACCCTTTCATTGCCGGGTACAGAAGCATTTGGCTAAAGGTCTCTTTCCTACTTGCTAGTCGATCAGTGAGTGTCTATGTAAGTCGTAAATAGAATCTGAACAGTGACATATCTATATATATTCAGTTTAACAGAAACTTTTACAATCGAAAGTTTTAAAAATATCGTACTATTTGCATAAACACTGGTTTTTAATGAGGTGTTCCCTCAGTATCCAGCAGAAAACTGAGGTTGACAAATTACTATTAATGAATCACATGCACTGTGATTTAAAAAGTTATTTCATGCAGAAAAATTAGTTTTAATGAGTTTTTTTCTAATTGAAACAAATGGTGAGTTGATGAGAAATGCACTCTTATTTAGTGATGTCTGCATGTTGTCAGAGATGATCAGTACGTAACTTAGTTTATATTTTTTACCTTCTTAAAACAGACCTAGGTGGGCATCCATGGAAGAAACCAAACCAGACTCAGAGAAGTGCTACAGGGAAAAGGTCTGCACTTCCAGACTCCAACACACAGAAGTAATTCTTAGAAATTTCAACACTTCTTAAATTGCCCATTAAAATCTCGTAACATATACAAATTAAAGAAGTCCTAGGCAATTGCAGAAGTAGCACCCCACCTCTGACTAAACAGATTATACTTTAAAAGTAATCATTTTGAAAAATGTCTGCAGGATAATTGGAAAAACCATCCTCCCAGCTCAACCCCCAAGTAGCTGGGGCTATAGGCGTGCATCACCATGCCCAGCTAATTTTTTTTACTGTTTGTGGAGATGAGGGTCTCACTATGATGCCCAGGCTACCCTTGAACTCCTGACAAACAATCCTCCCATCTTAGCCTCCCAAAGTGCTGGGATTACAGGCCTGAGTCACTGCACCTGCCTATCTCTTTTAAAAGAGAGGCTCAAAATACTTATGAAACACTGAACCATTTTTCAATCTATAAAAGTAAATATTAGTTACCAGATTTATTCAACTAAAATAAAAATGTACCCACATGCCGATTATTTTCCATAATATAACCAAAAACAATTCCTATTAGAACAAGAGAAAATACACTACCTAAAAACCCTATACTTTTAAAATAGAAACTTTAAATAGCTTATGAATAGTCACGTTTTACCAGAACCCTAAATACAAGTACCACATACACTATACACAACACCCTCACAGTACAGGCTCTTTCTCAAAATTCAAGTTTTCTCAGGTCACCACTCCAGGTGCCCCAGTGACTGCACCTCAGAACCAGCCCAGCTCCATGACAGCATCTAAGCCAGCACTGTCTAACAAGCCTTCGCGCCCTGACAGCCGTCCCACACCTGCACTGCTCAATGCAGTAGCTACTACACGTGACTATCAGGCACAGGAAATATGACAGATGCAAGTAAGAAACAAAATACTTTATTTATTTATTTATTTATTTTGAGACAGGGCCTCACTCTGTCACCCAAGCTAGAGTGCGATGCTGCAATCTCCGCTCACTGCAACACCTCCCAGACTCAAGCAATCCTCTCAACTCAGCCCCCAAGTAGCCGCGACTATAGGTGTGCCCACCACACCTGGCTAGTTGTTGCATTTTTAGTAGAAACAGGGTTTCACCATGTTGTCCAGCTGGTCTTGATCTCCTGAGCTCAGGTGAGCTGCCCACCTCGGCCTCCCAAAGTGTTGGGAGTACAGGCATAAGCCACTGCGTCTCGCCGTGATTTTTAATTTAAAAACTACCCCACAGTTGAGGGTAAGGGAGACAGCACCCTGGAGTAATCACTCATCTTTCATGTTCCTGGTCCTGGCTACCTCGTAAGTAGGACCAGTAACACTACCTCCCTCAAGTTGTAGGAATCACAGGAGATAATCCCTGTGCAAAAGTACCATCGTGTCTGACAATATGTGCCGAATGAGTAAGCTACTATTAATTTTTAATTTAAATAATCCCCATGAAGTCAATGGCTACTACACTAGAGCAGAACTATAATTCGGTAGTTACTTTTTCATTCATTACTTGCTTATTATCTGTCTCCCCGACCAGCCCAGAGATCCATGAAGGCCGGGCTGTATCCTGACACCATTGTGGGCACCTCGTCAGTGCTTGGGGGCACTCAGGCAACTAAAAATGTTTGTTTAATAAACACATCAACATCAAAAGCAAAACGACTAAACACGTTAGCAGGAAAGGAGTTCACGGAGGTAGGACCCTGCAGGCAAACAGGGTTTCCAGTTTCCAAAGAGACGCTCAGTAGAATTCAAGGCTGAACTCATGGAAGAAGATTCCCTTTAAACCAAAAACCTTATGACCAACAAAAGACGGAAGGTGTGAGTCTTCATAAACCAAACAACAAAGCACGAAAGGTAAACCCGGAGCAGCGGCAGACTTCCAAGCACAGAGAGGCAGCAACAGTGAATATACAGTCATCGACACATCCACACGTTCAAGCATCCTAAATAAAACTCACAAGGTCAAAGTATCAGACGCATCTATCAAACTCTACACCCTACAAGCACTGACCACCCTCACCCAGTGGGAGGCTGTGCAGGATGGTGTCTAAGACTCCGAGATTCAAGGCCATGGACCCCACCATTGGGGGTGAGGGAGACAGCAGCCCGTGATAATCACTCATCAGTCACGTGCCTGGTAGGCACAGTAAGTACAACCAAGAGTAATACGTACCTCATATTGTTCTAAGAACCGGGAGATAATCCACATGCAGAAATTACCACTGTGTCACGACGACTTGTGCTGAATGAGTAAGCTACCATTGCTACATTATTATTAACGACTACATTCATGGCATGCATTGAAAACGATTTGTATTAGACCGCAAAGATAAATTAATAGAATTCCCTAACACAGAAATTATACAGGACTCATTTTGATGTAGTAAAAGGTGAAAAGTAAAAATAACAAATATAAACCAAAAAGCCTAAACACTGGTGAAGTTAAAGCACCTCTCACGCCTGTAACCTCAGAACTTTGGGAGGCTAAGACAGGCAGATCACTTGAGGTCGGAAGTTCCAGACCAGCTGGTCAGCATGGTGAAATCCCATCTCTACTAAAAAATACACAAATGAGCTGGGTGTGGCAGAGGTAATTACAGACTCACGCCTGTAACCTCAGAATTTTGGGAGGCTGAGACAGGCAGATCACTTGAGGTCGGAAGTTCCAGACCAGCTGGTCAGCATGGTGAAATCCCATCTCTACTAAAAAATACACAAATGAGCTGGGTGTGGCAGAGGTAATTACAGACTCACGCCTGTAATCTCAGAATTTTGGGAGGCTGAGACAGGCAGATCACTTGAGGTCGGAAGTTCCAGACCAGCTGGTCAGCATGGTGAAATTCCATCTCTACTAAAAAATACACAAATGAGCTGGGTGTGGCAGTCCACACCTGTAATCCCAGCTACTCGGGAACCTGAGGCAGGAGAATCACTTGAACCTGGGAGGCAGATGTTGCAGTGAGCCAAGATCTTGTCACTGTACTCCAGCCTGGGTGACAGAGTGAGACTCTGTCTCACACACACACACACACACACACACACACAAAGGGGAAAAGAAAGGCACTTCTATGTATCATATACATCCTATTAAAAAATAAAAACTTTGGCTGGGTACAGTGGCTCACACACTTTAGGAGGTGTATGAGTAATCCCCAGCACTTTAGGAGGGCGAAGTGGAAGGATCACTAAGGCCAGGAGTTCAAGACCAGCCTGGCCAACATAGTGAGACTCTGTCTCTACACACACACAAATATATATATGTATATATATATATATTTCAATTTAGCCAGACATGGTGGCATACACCTGCAGTCTCGAACCAGCCTGGAAGACACAATGAAACCATATTTTTTTTTTACAGTGAGTCTCTAAAAAAAATAATAAAATAAATATGGGAAGGAAACAGAAGGAAAAATAAAAGGGAAAGAAAGCAAGCATCCATAAATCACAATAATGTAAGTAACACAGATCCAAACTTACGACACATGCTCTGTCTTTAATGATTGCAGACTAAACACCTGACAGTCACTTTTCTGATCCCCCTACAGTCTGCTAAAATACAAGTTCTTTTATTAAATGATAATTGGAAGCTAAAAGGAGGGCTACGAGTGGACCAGAAAGTTTAAGAAAATCTCAGATGACATGCATAGATAGAATCAAGACTGCCAGGACCAACAAAGGAATCCCCTGCCTAAAGAACCACAGGTAGACAGATGTTCCCAAGGAAGCCTCAGGGACTTTGAATAAACTAAGACCAAAAGCAAGAACGAGCCACAGGACCATCATCAGAGTAAACAACTGTGCCAGGAACAACTGCGCCCTTGTAAAAGGAACACTGAGCCAGCCAGGCCCTACCTCTTTTCCATCTCCCTTCCCTGCCACACAGAATAGACCCTGCAGCCCTGGGCTCCTGGGTGAACATGGAAAATTGTTCCTACAGTGAGCAATCCACCTTGGGGTGGGACACAGACATCGATGTGGGAAGAAAGACTGTGGTCCTCCAGATACCAAAGCAAGGAAGGGGTTAAATGAGGAAAGCCAGCTCCACTCCAAAGAAAAATCCACCCTGGCAACTGCAGAGGGCTCCAGCCTGCCTACCTCATCTTCAGCCAGTGAAATCCCAAATTCAAGTCAACCAGTCAACAGGGCTCCCTTATCCACATACCAGCCCTTTCTTTAAAGGACAGGCTATTGGAGAAAGAGACTTAGGCAAACATAAATGAG